CCCTGCTGACTGGGACAAATTCTATGTTGGGTTCCTGTTTCCCTGCTGACTGGGACGAGTTGCCCTGACCTGGTCGCGTACTGTCAGTTCCTGATTTTTCCAAACTGCATGGGGTGAGATCACCCCATCCTGCCGGCCTAACATCGGTTCCCATGTCCACTGTCTACATTATGTTAGATACTACTCTATTAACTACATTCTTACCAGCTATTATATGATTAACTCATTAGCTACACTCTTATAAAATTAGTAAGTGATTATACTGTATATGCTTACCCAAATTAGTAAATGATTATATGTTTAACCCCTCAGTACAAGTTATCTTATGTCGGCATTCACGGTTTGAATTCTGAGATTCAGATCGAGCTCTAGGTAATTTTTTTCTAACTGGTTGGTTCGACTTTTAAGAAATTCGAGTTCTAATGAGTTTGACAACTGAGGTACCACTGTACTGAGTTTTAAGCTGGTTTCTTGGCTTTCATGCCATTTTGCACCTCCTTTTCGTCATGTGTTCAATACTTATTCCCTGTGTCATTTCACTTTTATTACACATAACTTAATTTATGCACTTTGTTTTGATTTCTTTATGTGTGGATTACTTGGGTTGTTGGCGACATCTGGTGTAAATTTCATGTCAATAACCCCATTAGAAATATAGTTAGTGAGATAAATGCTGATGCGCTTAATACTTATTTTCCCCGCTGTATGTAAAATTCTTTGAAAGAACTCAATTCATGGACAGTGGTTTCACACTAGAATGAATGTTTTGAAAAAGGAAACATCATATTTCAGTTGGTGGATTCACTTTGTGTTTTAATAACATACCATGAATTTTCTCATGCCTATTTAAACCAAATGATTGTGGAGAAATCATACATGTCTTTCATTAGAATAATATAAATGCTATATAATTTTTTATTAAGAAACAACAAGCAATAAACATGCAATTCAATTTTACCGAGCTGGTGTAATGAAGTGTAAGATTGAGGCAATGTTTTTGCATGGCTAGTTCTGTAGGGGTCATTTTTTTATCACATTATGCGATGCCACCCTGCCTGTCATGCCCACTCAGGCGGGACCAAGTACATACGGGTGATCAACAGCTGATCACTCCACTATTTAACACCGGCAGACGTAGCATGCAGTATGAAGTATTGTTACCATTTCCTAATGCGCCGTACCAAGCACTTTCTTTGTCTTGTGTCCTCCTGGTTTGTCCTACCTGCTGTATGGACAAAAGTACTGGGATGATCTCAGGTTCATAACTTTGGATAGGTATAACGCACAGACATGAATCACGTATCTTTGTAATTGAGAGAGCTTCGTCAAGCTGCAACATTGTGCACTAAAATATTCCAGAGTAATCCTGTTTGCAATGAGGCATATATTTCAAACATTTTCCACCAAAACGCACCCCTAATAATCCATAAAACATTCACATTAGATGGAAAACAAGGCTTCTGCAATGATCCATGCACTACAATTATGTATTTGATTATTTATTTATAATAAGCCTAGAAATAATGGGATAGAAAAGCACTCAAACATGGGCTGGAGTTCTACTAGAAATAACAACAAAACACAGCAATCTATTTATTAGGAAGACAATTACTTGATATCGCAAAATTTATTCACAATAGTTTGCAAATGAATGTTTGATGTCAGGCTCCATCTAAACAGTTGAAACAGAATGTGCCCATCGTATAACTGGATTTAGGATTGGACCATAAACTAAACAATGCTTTACTGTTCCTATTTCTTTCTGATGTTATTAAATAATAAATAAGAAAATAGTATCACTTTCTATGAAGCCCACTTTTATAATGCATCATACATATCTTCTAATGCATTATAATGCATTCATAAAGTATTATAAACATGGCTATAAATATTTATGTAAAGGCATAACACATCATAGCCATGCTTATTATATAGCATGGATGCTCTATAAAGCTGTCATCTATAATGCACTATAAATACCTGCATAATGCATTATAATGGTCAGTATTAGAATTAAGGATGCTTTGTACTGCATTATGAAGGTATTTATAGATGACAGCTTCATAGTTCATTCATAATATGGCTATTGTGACGCACGGCGAGAATGGAGAAGGCAGACTCCAATGTGCGGGAGCAAGCGGGTTTATTATAGAGATCAGGCACAAAGAAACCCAGAGGGGCAATCCAGTCGGGCACAGGCAGAGGTCGAGTTCCGGGAAGATCATGGGGCTGTTTCACAAAGCAGGATTACTTGCTTAGCCAGATAACTTGCCAGATTTAAGGTAGTCTGGGCTAAATGTAAGTTGATGAAAATAAGGTCTATTTAGCCCAGACTACCTTAAATCTGGCAAGTTATCTGGCTAAGCAGGAAATCCTGCTTTGTGAAACAGACCCCAGTCCTACACCAAAGGACGTGACGAGGAGACGAGAGGCAGGAAGGAGCAGGGTTGGCAAGGTAAAGGAGGAGGAGGCAGGTAGGCAGGACACAGCAAGCAGGACGAACAGGGTGAACAGGAGACAAAGAGAGTGCTCGGTAAGGCTCATGCAGAAAATGGCAACAATACTTCGCGAGTAATGTCGTGACAGCCAATCTTAAGTAACGAGGTGATCAGCTGGCGATCACCTGCCAGTGTTCGGCCCCGCCCGCGTGGGCGTGACAGCTATAATGTGATATGCCTTCTTATAAATATTTCTCTTATTTCCCTCCCCCATTCCTCATCATTCCCATCTTCTACCGACAATTGTCTATAATACTTTATGTGTATAATACTTTATGAATGCATTGCAATGCATTAGAAGGTATATACACTCACCTAAAGGATTATTAGGAACACCTATTCAATTTCTCATTAATGCAATTATCTAATCAACCAATCACATGGCAGTTGCTTCAATGCATTTAGGGGTGTGGTCCTGGTC